AGTCCGGCAGGCCGTCACACCCCTAGCCCCAATCGCACCGCCGATTCCCGAGGCCCCAGTCCTGACATACGCAGCGGCATTGCGATCCCCTGCGCCACCGGCTACAGATACTGCTATGCGGCCAAGGTACCAGGCTATGCAGCCATTTCACGACACTGCTTCAAGCCCACCTCTCGGCTCAAGGTTTTCGAGCCCACCCACCTATCCGCCGTCCATCTCAAGACAAAGTGGTAGCAAGGCAAGCACGTGGCGCACCTCGGATAACCGTCCGCTCTGCTATCACTGTGGCGAAGCGGGTCACGTATACCGGAACTGTCAATACCGGCAACTAGGTCTCCGCGGCTTCCACCCTGATGCTCGATGCCCGCGCTACGGTGAGCGCCCCCGCGAAATTGAAGCCTATCTCACGGGCCAACGTACTCCTTCGACTATTCGGCACCACCAGTCGAGATCACCATCGCCTCGCCGGTCTACGTCACCCAGTTTGCCCTCATCGTCTTCCGCTCCTTTCAGGAGCCGGTCACCAAGTCCCCGCAGGGGAAACTAGGAACGGCGACTTCTGGGGGTGAAGTCGCGGCCCGGCGAACTGTAAAAGACCCTCCTTCGACGCAACGACCAGACGAGGGCGATTCCGGTTTTGCAGTGTTCTCCGACAGCAAAAAGATTGTTTCTGCCGAAATTGCCGTCTTCGTCGACAATCATGCTGTTAACGCCCTCGTCGACACCGGTGCCGACTATTCCGTAATGAGCGCAACACTGGCATCTGAACTGAGGAAGGTTACGACGCCTTGGCAAGGACCTCAGTTGCGCACGGCAGGTGGCCATCTGGTGACGCCTACTGGTATGTGCACGGCACGCATTCGAATACGTACGTCAACATTTGCGGGCTCTTTCCTCGTATTGCGCGTGTGCTCTCGGCCAGTCATTCTAGGAATGGACTTCCTTCGTGAATACGGCGCCGTCATCGACCTCCGTGAATTACTTGTGTCGTTCGAGGATCCTTTTTGCGCTGCAACTGACAGTATGCAATTCCGGAAAAGAGCGCTCCGTGTTACCGACGATTCTCTGACTCTCCCACCTCGAAGCAGCCTCTTTGTCAAAGTAGAATTGGGACAGGACTTGTCTGACGCGGTAATTGCAGAGGCCAATTTGTCTCTCCTTATTTCACAACAAATCTGTGTTGCCCGAGGAATCATTCAGCCTAGCAATAGGCATGCTCACCTGCTGGTCACGAACTTCAGCGACGAATATCGCCACCTAACGAGACACACTGCCATTGCATATTGTGAAGAACTTGCCGATGCCGATGGTCCATCTACGTTAGCTTCATTTTCATCGAATGGCCACCCTGACGAGGCCTTCGTGAGCACTCTCGACGTAAACGAGAGACTACCTTCGGCTCAACGAGAAAGCCTTTTGCGTATACTCGGCTCATTTCAAGACTGCTTTGCCACTACGTCAAAGGTTAAACAGACACCACTTGCTCAACATCGTATCATCACGGAACCTACTGAGAGACCCATCCGACAACATGCCTATAGGGTGTCGCAAAAAGAGCAAGATGCTATACGTGACCAAGTCCAGCAGATGCTTCAGGACGACGTCATTCAGCCATCGACCAGTCCCTGGGCTTCGCCAGTTGTGCTAGTAAAGAAGAAGGATGGTACGTTGCGTTTTTGCGTTGATTACCGTAAACTGAACAAGGTCACCAAAAAGGACGTTTATCCTCTACCCCGGATAGATGACTCGTTGGACCGTATACGCAACGCTAAATATTTTTCCTCCATGGATTTGCGTAGCGGCTACTGGCAAATCGCAGTGGACGAGCGCGACCGCGAAAAGACGGCGTTTATTACTCCCGACGGTCTGTACGAGTTTAAAGTGTTGCCTTTCGGTCTATGCTCAGCGCCAGCTACTTTTCAAAGAATGATGGATACGGTTCTCACGGGGCTCAAATGGCAATCATGCCTTGTTTACCTTGATGACGTCGTGGTCTTTGCAGACACGTTTGAACAACACGTCCAACGCCTTTATGCAGTTCTTCAGGCAATTAGAACAGCGGGGTTGTCTCTCAAACCCGACAAATGTCATTTTGGATATGAAGAACTGAAGTTCCTTGGTCACGTTGTGAGCCATGCTGGCATCCGCCCAGATCCCGAGAAAACCCGCGCCGTTGCCACCTTTCCCGTGCCCACAAATAAGCGCGACCTACGCCGATTTCTGGGGCTCTGTGCGTATTACAGGCGCTTTGTCAAAAACTTCTCGAAGATTGCTGAACCCCTCAACAAGCTTACAAAAGACGGTGTCTCGTTTGTTTGGGGTCCCGATCAGTGCCATGCGTTCGACACCCTCCGAAACCTCCTCCAGGCTCCGCCTGTACTAGGTCATTTTGACGAAAGCGCTGACACGGAATTACACACTGACGCCAGCAACGTTGGACTAGGAGCGGTATTAGTTCAGTGGCAAAATGGCATAGAGCGCGTGATCGCTTATGCGAGCAGAACGTTATCCCCAGCGGAGAAAAACTATTCTGCAACCGAAAAGGAATGCCTCGCTGTTGTCTGGGCCATAACAAAGTTCCGCCCATACTTGTATGGCCGCCCATTCAGGGTAGTTAGCGACCACCATTCCCTTTGTTGGCTCGCGAATCTCAAAGATCCCTCAGGTCGTCTAGCACGATGGAGCCTTCGGCTACAAGATTTCGATGTCACCATCGTCCACAAATCTGGGCGGAAACACACCGACGCCGACTGTCTCTCACGTGCACCGGTCGAAAATGCCAACACTGACCTTGAAGACGACGACACTTTTCTTTCTGCCGTATCAGCGACCAGCTTAGCGGAGCAACAGCGTCATGACTCGGAGCTCATCCCGCTCATTGACTACCTGGAAGGACGCAATTCCCACCTTCCTCGAAGCTTTGCGCGCTCACTATCTTCCTTTTGTTTCCGTGATAGAGTGCTTTATAAAAAGAACTTTCATCCTACACAAGCTATGTATCTGCTTGTTGTGCCAACTACGCTTCGTGGTGACATTTTACGTGCGTGTCACGATGAGCCATCATCCGGACACCTCGGCTATACGCGCACGCTGCAACGGATTCAACGCTCCTACTACTGGCCACGTCTCGCGAAGACTGTGAAGCACTACGTTCGCACATGTCGCGACTGTCAGCGACGTAAGATTCCACCTTTACGACCAGCGGGACTACTGCACCCAATTGGCCCACCAAAGGCGCCCTTTCATCAGATTGGCATGGACTTGCTGGGGTCATTCCCCACGTCTTCGTCTGGAAACCGGTGGATTGTCGTCGCTACAGACTACTTAACACGCTACTGTGAAACCAAGGCACTTCCAAAAGCCACCGCAGCAGATGTCGCCCAATTTTTGTTAACAGCATCGTCTTACGTCACGGTGCTCCAGCTGTCGTCATAACTGATCGTGGGACAGCTTTCACCGCAGAGATGCTGCAGGAAGTCTTGCGATTAAGTGGCACGGAACATCGTAAAACAACGGCTTACCACCCGCAAACAAATGGGCTGACTGAACGACTCAATAAGACAATTGCAGACATGCTGTCAATGTATGTGGACATCGATCACAAGAACTGGGACACCATACTTCCCTACGTAACTTTTGCGTATAACACTGCTGTTCAAGAAAGTACCGGTTTCACGCCTTTTCGCTTAGTCCACGGTCGTGACGTCACGACGATGCTCGACGCCATGCTCCTGCCCGACAACTTAGGAATATACCACACGGATGCCGCCAAATTCGCGCAGTGCGCAGAAGAGGCCCGTCAACTTGCTCGTCACCGCATTCAACGTCACCAAACCGCAGACGCGCGCCGCTACAATCTTCGCCACCGTGAAGTTATTTTTAAGCCAGGTGATGAAGTCTGGGTGTGGACCCCTATCCGACAGCGTGGACGTTCCGAAAAGCTTCTTCGCCGCTACTTCGGCCCTTACAAGGTTGTGCGACGTCTCAGTGACGTCACTTACGAGGTTCTCCCACAAGGCAATTCGAGACGTTCCCGTTTCACCCCGCAAACTGAAGTCATTCACGTTTCACGTCTCAAACCATACTTTTCGCGCTGTGAATCGCCAAGGAGTGACTGACTTTATTAGTAACTTCGCGTCTTTCTTTTTGTTTCGTCTTTTCCTTACATTTTTCCTATTTTTCTTATTTCTCTAACTTTTGTCCCCACAACCAACTACGTTATTCCGCCTTACGCCATTCATTTTGCTCGCATGCTAATTTTCATCTAATTTTCTTTTCTTTTTTTTGCCTTCATGTACAGCATCGAGACGATGCTTCTTGGGAGAGGGGGTAATGCCACCATTGATGAACGAGCCACTGTGGCTCATACGCGTTTTTGGGCGCGAAGAAGAAGAGAACATCTTCGTTGCTCTGGTTCAAGTGAACTCCTGGCTGCAGGTCTTGTTTTGTTCGTGACAATATATAATATATATATATATATATATATATATATATATATATAGCATGACTGTGTGTCCACTCGTGTATTCGGTACTCCTTAGAAAATCCGTTGTTTAAAAAGGCCCAGCATTATTTTTGTGTACTCTCTCTTTCATGAAACCTTTCAACAGCCACTCAAATCTTTCGGGTTGTTGAGACGACGCACTCTATCGACCAGTTTGAGCAAGTACTTGTCGCCAGTAATCGCGCAGGCGTTCGAAAGTCCCATCTCACCGCAGATCTGAAGCTCTGTGCGAGCAACGACCATTCTTTTACTTATATATATTGTTTTCTTAATTTACATTAGGTATTTGATGTCAGGCAGCACCTCCTAGCGAGGCGAGGGATTGGCCTTGGAAGATCCTTGGCAGAAAAAGTTGGAGCGTGACACGAATGAGGTGTTTCACTGAGGCTGCTCAAGGCATGGGGAGCAGTTTCGCGTGCAATAAAATGTAGAAAGATAGATAATGTGCACAAAAAACAGCAAAAGGCAGCGCTAACCGTTTGCTCTCAAGAAAAACGAAGCCGTTCTTTCTTAGACGAGTACCGAGTCAGAAGTGCGTCTGTGTGACTCTCGCCTGTCGGCGTTCGAGTCCCACATTTACCTGTGCATCTGTTCGATGGCATGTCCACTTCGGAACTAAAGGCATCAACAATGCAAGCTGTAAAGTAGGTGATACCTGTGTTTTCTAGTCGCCTTCACTGCTTTCATTTCGCTATTGATGGATCTGTGAACGTGCACGAAACGTATACAACAGCGACATTTACCTTGGTTTTAGTACATTAATAATGAGACGACATCTCAGGTTATTTTAATTCTCTGCGGAATGTAGCCGTTGCCGTTTTGGTTAATCATGGTCCTAGCAGCTGTGCTATTTTAATCGAAGTCACAGCTTCCTGCAAACTGACAATCATTTTGAGAGGTTTTTCACCAATACTAAATCAGTCTCGTCGCCTTAACAATTTCAAACTATCGCGAAAGTGATTTCAACAATAAACTCGCTCGTTCCCCCAAATAAATCAATACAACATTTTTTCATTTATATAAAGATTCCTGGAGGTCGAAGAGATGTGGTAACGTCACGTGTTTATTGTCTTGAGACGTTGTAGCTTACATAAGCATAGATGTATCCGTCAAAACTTTTATCTAAGTAATGTGTGACCACAGAAATAAATCACTTGAAGGTTAGTTATTCTCGTCACAAGTTTTTTATCGGCTTTTCAACTTTGCTGTTTTTTTTTGTATCTTGAAACAGCATCTGGCTCTGGTTTTATCATGTACACGTTGTATGCACATTCGTTATTCAAAGATGACTGATGACATATGCGCAAGGAATGTTTCACTTAACAGTGGGCGCTTGTTTGTCCTGTGCAGCTGCAGCTCTTCCCCTTTTTGTCTCTCTTTTTCGCGCTATTTAATATTATGCACCTATACCAACCAGCCCAGCTTACCACTCATTGGAAAATTACTGTCACACTGTTTACTTTAATGCTTTCAGTTTTATACACCTTGGCTGATCTATCGTAAGAAAATGGGATAATACATTTTGTGAAGTTTTTTCACGCTCTCTGTAACCCAAATTGCATAGGCTGGCTCAAAAAATGGAAGCTTACTACTATGCTGCACGTTACTTAAGTTTTTTCGTTCATGTTCTCAGAGTGCCATCGTCATCATCAGCCCGGCTACGTCTACTGCAGGACAAAGGCCTCTCCCATGTTCCGCCAGTGAACCCAATCCTGTGCTTGCTGCTGCCAATTTACACCCGCAAACTTCTTAATCTCAGCTGCCCACCTTACCTTCTGTCTCTCCCTGTATAACCCGCTTGCCTTCTCTGGGAATCCAGTTAGTTACCCTTAATGACCAGTGGTTATCCTGTCTACGCGCTACATGCCCAGTCCATATGTCCATTTCGTCTTCTATATTTCAACTATGATATCCTTAACCCTCGTTTGTTCCCTAATTCACTCTGCTCTCTTCTTGTCTCTTAAGGTTACACCTACCATTTTTCTTTCCATTGCTCGCTGCGTCGTCCTCAATTTAAGCTGAACCCTATTTGTAAGTCTCCGGGTTTCTGCTCCATAGCTAAGAACCGGCAAGATACAGCTGATATATACCTTCCTCTTGAGGAATAGTGGCAATCTGCCTGTAATAATTTGAGAGTGCTTGCCAAATGTGCTCCACCCCATCCTCATTCTCTAGTTACTTCAATCTCATGGTTCGGCTCTATGGTTATTACCTGCCCTAAGTAGACAGTCTTTTACAACTTGAAGTGCACTATAATCTATCTCGAAGCGCTGCTCTTTTCCGGGGTTGTTGTACATTACTTTCGTTTTCTGTAGATTAATTTTGAGACCCACCTTTCTGCTCTCCTTGTTTAACTCCGTAATCATGAGTTGCAATCGGTCCTCTGAGTTACTCAGCAATGCAATGTCATCGGTGAAGCGCAGGTTACTAAGGTACTCTCCATTACCTCTTATCCCAAACGGGTCCCATTCTAGGCATCTGAAAACCTCCTGTAAGCACGCGGTAAGTAGCATTGGGGAGATTGTGTCCCCCTGCCTTACACCTTTCTTGACTGGTATTCTGTTGCTTTCTTTATGAAGCACTATGGTAGCAGTTGATCCCCTGTAGATTTCTTCCACGATGTTTATATATACTTCATCGACGCCCTGATTCCGCAGTGTCTGCATGACGGCTGATATTTCTACTGAATCAAACGCCTTCTCGTAATCTATGAAGGCTATGTATAGTGGTTGGTTATATTCTGAACATTTCTCTATCACCTGATATATAGTATGAATGTGGTCGATTGCTGAGTAGCATGTTCGAAATCCTGCTTGTTCCTTTGGTTGATTAAATTCTAATGTTTTCTTTACTCTGTTTGCAATTACCTTTGTAAATAACTTGTATACTACAGAAAGCATGCTGATCAGCCTGTAATTCTTCAAGTCCTTGTCATCTACTTTCTTATGTATTAAAAGCTCGACTAGGTGGCAGGGATATTGCCCTGCCCCAGAAGAGATCACACTGAGCAGGATCAAGCTACACCATATATACCTGACCACTTTAAAAACACCCGGCATGAGCGCTTGAGAAAGGTGCTGGTAGTTTGTAAATTTTGCATGAAGCAACGTTGTGTCTTTTTTTCAGTTTCAAGAGAAGGGTTTTGGAACGTTAAACCACACATACCAATATATATAAGCTTCATGAGAATACATGAGTTCAAAGATGTGTGAGCCCATGGGAGAAAAAATAGCATAATAAATAAGGTAAAGGACAATACTTTGGTAACAACCCCCAATAGCGAAAGGATCCACTGACTGTTATTCAACAACCTAACGTCGTACGCATGCTAAAACGTACTACACATACCATATGTACATTGCGCGCGTACTATCTCGCTTAGGAAGAGACAGTCATTAGGCTTTTTTCCATGGTCACTCATGCTAATCGCGATGTTGTGTGTATGAAATCTAATCAAAATGTTCTAATAATAGAGAAAAGGAAATACTTATACGTCGGGAACTGTATGTGCTTAAACATGGGCTAATTATGCGGCTTCAGTCTATTGCTTCGGTTGTGTTTTGTCAGATGGAGGACGCAATATTGTTTTCAAATTCCAACGCCATAAATATCCTGCCATGACCACTGCCGAACGTAAATATCTAAGAAATAATGATAGGCACATTGCTAAGTACTGCATTTTCTACGTGTTTTATGAAGAAATAAGTTACGAGGCGGAGCTTGCATCTGTAGCAAGTTTGGTGAAGGTGCGATGGAAACGGCTTTTTACCTTTAAACCAGCAGTGGCTTACGGGTCCTATAATACAATACATTTTGCAGTTCTCATATAGTGACCTCTTCGAAAATGCACAACTTTCATTCAACCGTCTACGCCAAGAACCTACAGAGAAAATAGAAGTGAATGTTTGATAAGGGAAACTTTCTGAGTCGACAAAAGTTGCGTGCAAGGCTGGAAATGAGCCCTAAACTAATGTCTAAGCCTGTGAGGTTGCTTTACTGTTGGAGCAAAATGAATATAATGGCAAATTAATTTAAGCTTTGTATCTGGCTGCTACGAACGGGTCACATGGGTCGTAATTTTTTGCTGGAATTGCGAAACTTATACTTCAAGCCACGGGCTTCGCATAACTGATCTGCTGAAATTAGCCTTATAGAGAGCTTTTCAATAAAATGCACAAAAGACAACGCATAGACAAAGCTACAATACGAGCTCAACTGAGCTACCTATCCTGTTGAATTTTTAGGCTTGTTTGCTTGAACTGCGATACTGTTATTAGTGTGCACTTTCATGTCAAATACCAGTGGTAACGCTTGTGGACGTCGTAAACGAGTATGTGCCCCAGGAATTACTTATTTCCGGTACGTATAACTTCCATTGAAGTGAAAGAAGGAAATAGCTCAAGAAATGTATTGTGCAGTACCATACTCATGCCACTGTCACGTCATGCTATGTGGTTGCAAAAGGTTGTGGCTATACTAATACCTGAAAGCTTAAGAAGGAGTGTTTGTTACCTATACTGCCATCTCAATGCCTAACAAGAGAGTTCCATAAATCGCAGTGATACAAAAGATCGGCAAGTCTTTCAAGTTACACAGAACGCCTTTAGCTGCACGTTTCATCGGTGTTTGAGAAACGGAGCTGGTTGAACTTTTTTAGAACTTATACAATGTAAGTTCAGCTAATGAAGTTGCTGCGTGAGGCATGCCCTTTCTTTTCTTTTCGTAAGAAAGAGCGCACTGAAAACTACGCTGGAAAAAGCGCATCGAATAAAAAAAAACTAATATTTCTGGGAGTGGAGAAGTGTAGAAACGAGACGATGATTTATCGAAATGTTAACTCAGTGGTGTCCATGGCTTTCTCTTTCCTGTTTTTAAAACAACCGCACTCATCGATTGTTCTCGTTGACAGCGCTGCAGCGCCAGCATATGGGGATACCCAGTCGAGCAGGTGCGGCTAATAATTCACGCGACACGTAGCCTCTACGTTTAACCCATCGTGAAAAGTGTCGTTCACCACTTCCACTTTCGGTTTCGTTTGTTCCACACACTATATAATTCGATACGACAGAAAGCGATATATGATAGTTCATAAAATAAGACTGTCACTTTCTGTGGCATGCAGCAGCAACAGAAGTAACATAGTCATTCGCGTCTTGATCTCAAATCCATATATTTTCAATCCTGGTTTCTTTTGTATTATGCAACCAGAAGTGTTTGTGGGGCGTTGTTAAGAGATGTTGCTGGATACTTGCGCAAGAGTGAAGTGAAGGATAACGCGTGAGCTTTGGGAACCTAATAAAGTCACGAGAGATGTGAAGATGTGTCCCACGTGAACGAAATTGGCCGCCGTCATATACACCCTGAATCTCTCAAGCTGGTAAGGAAATGATCTTACCACAAATGAAGTATTTCGCTCAGCTCAGTAGTCTTAATCTGAAACCCAAAAAAGACAATTTGCCTAATTTTCATAACCATTTTGGCATCACGTCTGGAACAAACAGGTGCACTTAAATTATACAAAGCCTTTAGAAGCAACCATAAGCGCTTTCTCTTAACGCCAGCGCACAAAAAATAACTCGTTTTTTTAAAATTATGTTCAAGCTCTCGTTTCAGGCGAACGGCAAGATAGTCGTGTTCAACCAGGAGTTTGTCACCTACTCGAAGACGATTAAATAACGAGTGGAAGGAGCGTCGGCAGCAGCGAGGGCAGGTGCCGTGGCGGCTCTGGTGCGCTCCTTAACGCCCATGTCGATCGACAGTCCGCACACTGGTTACATGACGTATGACATGAACACAACCAGGATACCTACAGCTGCTATCACAGTAGAAGACGCCGAACTGTTGGCCCGGCTTCAGGAACGAGGTGAAGACACTGTATAAGTTCGAGCGGTGAATACTACCCGTGTTGCTATTGACGAGCTGCATAAATGCCAGCAACAGTAGAAAAAGTCCCGAAGTGTTCAAGCAACGCTAGGCTCAGCCGCTATTGTGCATGAAAGCAAATAAAAGCCAGCAAGAACACGCTGCTCGTACGATTGAGAAGACGTTTGAACGAACTAATGTGTCACTAATAATTCTGGTGCCAGTTGACAGGATGTTAGGGCACTTCATGGCAACAAAGCATGTGTGCCAGCCTCTCAAGAGTGGACCAGACTACTTAATAAGGTTTTCCTGATCTTTATATGTCTCTGTTTTAGAAAACTAAAGCTGCACTTTATTTCGCTGTAGAAAGAAGGGTACTGTAGTTCGGTAGTCATGAACTTATATCACTGGATTGTCAAGATAGGCATGACGTATATAGTGTGTGGATTTGTTTTTAGCAGAACACATTGCCTTGTTTGAACTTTACTTAAAGCAATATTATTTCAAAGGGCACTTGCGCCCGTGCGGTCAAACAGAAAGACAAGACATCGGTGCATACATCACTGTTATAAAGCTGGTTACAAGAGTTAGCAGATTAGACACCACAAATATAAGTAGTAAAAAGACAAACTCACATAAAGACTGCAATTCCTATCTATGTATTTTTTGTCATAATGGCCCTATATAGCCTCATTACAGTCATTTTAAAATAAACCAAGAGCTTCTTGTTATCAAACCACAAAATAGACTATGTTGTACCAAAATATAGCAGTCGCAAAAGTTGTGACACATGCTAACTCAGAAAAAATAGGAACTGCTTAGAGTGAGAGGGTCCTTATGTTTCAGTAGAGCAGGATTGCGATAAGAGTTATCACATACACATACGGCAGCTGAATAGTTCGTTACGTCTGTTAGCCTGTCTACTGCCTACGCGGAATATAATTTTCTGCTATTTGTAAGAGAACACCAAACCATTTTTTTTTTAAATAAGCAGTGATACAGACAGTAAGTAGAGCATTTCAGTCCTCTTTAAAGAGTACGCCATTCTAAGTGTATCAATATTAGTCAATATATTAATGCAGTTCTTCCCGTTTTTTTTATTCAGGTGAAGAGTTAACCGCCAGCGGACGCAATGATCTGGTCTTACTCGTTCATCTGCGCCATTATCGTGCTTTATGCAGCTGTGATAACGCGATGCCAAGATCAATATACGTGTGACAGCAACACTCTGCTCCCTCGTAAACTGGTACAGGAGATCCGGAGTTACCAGCCAGTCGTAGACAAGATCATAGACACCGTAGTTCACGGCGACGAACAAAATGTGACGTACAATGAACTGGCCAAGTTCGTCGACACCTTCGGCCCGAGGCCATCGGGCAGTAAGAGCTTGGAAGACTCAATCGACTACATGTTCGACATGCTTCGCGGCCAGGGACTAGACTTCGTGCATACGGAAAACGCGAACGTGGTCCACTGGCAGAGGGGTCACGAGGAAGCGTGGATGGTGAAACCGAGGCTGAAGCGAATGGACATCCTGGGCTTGGGAAACAGTGTGGGTACGCCGGAAGGTGGCATCACGGCGCCGGTGTTGGTTGTTGGGTGCTTTGAGGAGCTGGAAAACAATTCGAAGAAGGTAAGTACAGTCATCTAGAGTACAGATGTGACCATTACTCATTGCAAATATTTTCCGTTGAGGGCTTTACTTTCACACTGCATTTATACAATATTGAAATTTGTTTTTTACCACACACACACACACACACACACACATATATATATATATATATATATATTCCTGCTCACGGTGTTATCTTTCACCAACTTTTCTTTCTTCTTATTTACATTCCATTTGTTATAATAACTTCCCATACACTCCTTGGCATTATTGTCTGTTAGATCTCATTAAATTGTGTCAACACATGGAAAAAACGAGCCCTTAGGTATACACTTCTTTCCCTCATATATATATATATATATTCTGGCTCTTTGCAGCATAGAACATTTATGCTCCCCCGCGTTTGTGCCTGCAGGTAACGTTGATTTTCTGTGTTCTCTCCAGTGGGCAATTACGCAACCACTAAATATATATATATATATATTATATATATATATATATATATATATATATATCTATATATATATATATAATATATATATATATATATATATATATATATATATGCAAACAGTTGGAAGTAAATTTGTAGACGTTCACAACACATGTAACTGAACAGCAAGGGCTCGAGGTCACACCATACCTATAAGCAGTCTATGATCGCAAGCGATGGATCCCAAAGAATAAGAGAGCTTGATTAATGCTCCATAAAGTCGCTTGTTTTTCTAACGCGTATCGTGGTGCCAACTAATAGCTCGACTAGGTGGCAGGGATATTTGCCACTGCCACATAAGAGATCACACTGAGCAGGATACAAGCTACACCATATATAGCTGACCACTTTAAAAACACCCAGCATGAGCGCTTGAGCAAGCTGCTGGTAGTTTGGAAACTTTGCATGAAGCAAAGTTGTGTCAAGAGAGGCGTTTTGATACGTTAAACCTCACACATTAATATATATAGGTTTCAAGAGAATACATTAGTTCAAAGATGTGTGAGCCCAAGACAGAAAAAATAGCATAATAATTAAGGTAAAGGACAATACTTTGGTAACAACCCCAATAACGAAAGGTTCCACTGACTGTTATCCAACAACCTAACATCTAACGCATGCCAAAACGTACTACACATACGATATGTACATTGCGTGCGTACTGTCTCGCTTAGGAAGATGCATTCATTAGGCTTTTTTCCATGTTCAGTCATCCTTACCGTGATTTTGTGTATATAAAATCTAATCAAAATGGCCTAATAATAGAGAAAAGGAAATACTTGTACGTCGGGAACTGTATGTGCGTAAACATGGGCTAATTATTCGGCTTCAGTCGACTGCTCCAGTTGTATTTTGCCAGATGGAGGACGCAGTATTGTTTTCAAATTCCAACGCTATAAATATCCTGCCACCACCACTGCCGAAAAAAATATCCAAAAAATACTGATAGGCGCAATTCTAAGTACTGCATTTTCCACGTGTTTTGTGAAGAAATAAGTTACGAGGAGGAGCTTGCATCTGTAGCAAGTTTGGTGAAGGTGCGAAGGAAACGGCCATTTCACCTTTAAAGCAGCAGTGGCTTACGGGTCCTATAATACAATAATTTTGCAGTTCTCATATAATGACCTCTTCGAGAATGCACAACTTTCATTCAACCGTCTACGCCAAGAACCTACAGAGACAATAGAAGTGAATGTTTGATAAGGGAAACTTTCTGAGTCCACAAAAGTTGCGTCCTAGTCTATAAATGAGCCCTAAACTAATATCTTAGCCTGTGAAGTTGCTTTACTGTTTGAGCAAAATGAATACTATAGCAAATTAATTTACGCTTTGTATCTGGCTGTTACGAACGGGTCACATGGGTCGTAATCCTTCGCTGGAATCGCGAAACTTATACTTCAAGTCACGGGCTTCGCATAACTGATCTGCTGAAATTAGCCTAATAAAGAGCTTTTCAGTAAAATGCACAAAAACAACGCAAAAGACAAAGCTACAATACGTGCTCAACTGGGCTACCTATTCTGTTGAATTTTTAGGCTTGTTTGCTTGAACTGCGATACTGTTATTAGTGTGCACTTTCATGTCAAATACCAGTGGTAACGCTTGTGGACGTCGTAAACGGGTGCCCCAGGAATTACTTATTTCCGGTACGTATAACTTCCATTGAAGTGAAAGAAGGAAATAGCTCAAGAAATGTATTGTGCAGTACCACAGTCATGCCACTGTCACGTCATGCTATGTGGTTGCAAAAGGTTGTGGCTATGCTATTACCTGAAAGCCTAAAAAGGAGTGTTTATTAACTATACTACCATCTCAAGGCCTAACAAAGAGAATTCCGTAAATCGCAGTGATACAAAAGATCTGCAAGTCTTTCAAGTTACAGAGAACGCCATGCACGTTTCATTGGTGTTCGAGAAACGGAGCTGGTTGAATTTTTTTGGAACCTATACAGTGTAAGTTAAGTTAGTGAAGTTTCTGCGTGAGGCACACCCTTTCTTCTCTTTTCGTAAGAAAGAGCGCACTGAAAACTACGCAGGAAAAAGCGCATCGAATAAAAAAAACAAATATTTCTGGGAGTGGGAGAAGTGTACAAAGAGACGATGACTTATCGAATTGTAACTCAGGTGGTGTTCATGGCTTTCTCTTCCTGTTTTTAAAACAACCGCACTCATCGATTGTTCTCGTTGAGCAGTGGTGCAGCGCCAGCATATGGGATACCCAGTCGAGCAGGTGCGGCAAATAATTCACGCGGCACGTAGCCTCTACGTTTAACCCATCGTGAAAAGTGTCGTTCATCACTTCCACTTTCGGTTTCGTTTGTTCCACACACTATAGAATTCGATACGACAGAAAGCGATATATGATAGTTCATAAAATAAGACTGTCGCTTTCTGTGGCATGCAGCAGCAACAGCAGTAACATAATCGTTCGCGTCTTGATCTCAAATCTATATATTTTCAATCCAGGTTTTTTTGTATTATGCAACCGGAAGTGTTTGTGGGGCGTTGTTAAGAGATGTCGCTGAATGCTTGCGCAAGAGTGAAGTGAAGGATAACGCGTGAGCTTTGGGAACCTAATAAAGTCACGAGAGAGGTGAAGATGTGTCCCACGTGAACAAAATTGGCCGCCGTCATATACGCCCTCAATCGCTCAAGCTGGTAAGGAAATGATCATACCACAAATGAACTGTTTCACTCGGCACAGTAGTCTTAATCTGAAACCCAAAAAACAAAATTTGCCTGATTTTCATATCAATTTTGGCATCACGTCTGGAACGAACAGGTGCACTTAAATTATAATTAGTCTTTAGAAGCAACCATAAGCGCTTTCTCTTAACGCCAGCGAAAAAAAAAATAACTCGTTTTTTTCTTAAATTATGTCAAGCTTCTGTTCTGCTCTCGTTTCAGGCGAACGGCAAGATAGTCGTGTTCAACCAGGAGTTTGTCACCTACTCGAAGACGATTAAGTACCGAGTGGAGGGAGCGTCGGCAGCAGCGAGGGCAGGCGCCGTGGCGGCACTCGTGCGCTCCTTAACGCCCATGTCGATCAACAGTCCGCATACTGGTTACATGACGTATGACATGAACACAACCCGGATACCTACAGCTGCTATCACAGTTGAAGACGCCGAACTTTTGGCCCGACTTCAGGAACGAGGTGAACACGCTGTATTAGTTCGAGTGGTGAATACTACGCGTGTTCTTATTGACGAGCTGCATAAATGCGAGCAACACTATAAAAAGTCCCGAAGTGTTGAAGAAACGCTGGGCTCAGCCGCTATTTTCCATGAAAGCAAATAAAAGCAAGCAAGAACACGCCGCTCGTGCGAGTGAGAAGTATGAACGGAAGATAGATGTTTCATTCAATGTGAGCATTTTGTGTGATCCAGGTGCTAGGCATGCCGGCCCATCGCAACGAAACTGCTTATGCACAATTGCAAACATTCGCTCTTTCTTTTACATTTGCACAGACGGCGCTGCAACAATTTTTTTGTCATCTCGTCTTTGTTAAAGACGTTCCAGCCTTTGACGACTCCTTTTCACGCAGTTTTTTAACGAGCTCTCTTGAGGCCCACGTATTATATGTTACTTAAGATGAAATGGAAGTTTTCTTGTGGCCTCAAAAGTGCTATTTAGACATTTTGCACTTGAGCGACTTTGTTTCTTTGTTATCTACAGTTATGGTTTGAGTTACTTTAGCTGCATATAAAGAACAGTTTTTATGACGTCACCAACATCAACGTGATTTCTTTTTGGTTTATTTGCTTCAAGCGAACATTAAAATCTAATTTATTTATGGCTGAAACAATGGTTTGCTCAGTGGTCGATGTAATTCTAAAAAGTATTTACCAGCTCCGAATCTCAGGACAATCTAGATTTTTTTCATATTTTCGTGGGGTCACCCAATTGCACCACTTCATTGCCAACGCAAAAAAAAACCTAAAATGGAACTGCATTATCCCTTGCAGACTACTGCCGTAGCCTATGCAGTAGCACTTCCGTTCTGTGCTATTCAAGAATGCACGTGAAAGTCTACAATGATAGTCGACACCTTGACATTGCATTGTTGGTCTGGTTTCTTTCTTTTTTTGCGCTAGATAAGACGCCAGATAGAGAGCAATAGCAGCGACATCGACAAGTATTGTGTCAAGTGCTCCAGTGTCATTAGGAAAGTGGTTTACCAAATCATTTACCTCTGTAGCCCAATATCCTTTAACGTGACGGATGACGATATCCTGTTCGCCTTACCATATATGGTTCAAGTGCTGAGTTAACTCTGTGTCGACAGGTTTCCACACAGAATGTTTATAGTTTCTGCAGCGTCTAATCATCTTGTCAAGGCTCAGTTATTTATTACATTCACCTATCTTTCCCGTCTCGAAGCTCTCACAAACTAGATCTCTAAAGATTCTCGCCAGAGCATACATGTTCGAAACTTTTTGTCCTCTGTGCAACTGATCACCGGAATTCTACACCGAATCTTCCTGCGTTGCCATTTCGTGACCTTTTGCCTGCAACTGATCTATAGTGCGTATTAGCTATACCTGAACAACCGCACCCCGCTGCAGCATGCAGGGTGAAGTAAACAATTTAAATGAAGAGGTTGCTCTCTCCTCATCATTTGGCAGAAATGTACAAAGAATACACGGCATAAAAAGCCGCTTCGCACAGTGGAACCGGTCATGACTTTTTATCCGATGCCCACATTCAAGGATTATTCCAAATTGCTGTGGCTGCGATGATTCTAATACATCAGAAATGTTCCAATGACGTAGCCTGCTGTTGCTTCAAGTAGTATGGGTTCTAATTTCAGTGAAGTCATGGTTAGAATGCCTGCCAATCTATATGTACCCATTTGTGCTTGTGTTTTTTTCAGGACTTCAATACCAAACAATCAGTGTATATGATACCATCGCTTTTCACCACTATTCCAAACAATACTGCACTCGTTGCCAGCGGATAAGGCCCACTCTCAAGGAATCATATAAAGAAGGACAGATTATCGACAGAAATTATTGGTTAATATATGCTGACACCTAAAGCCAAAAGCATGCAAGCGAATTTGATATAAAGAACTCATATACATCAGCGTACAGATGTTGATGTTCATCAGCATATGATTTCAGCGTTGATTCAACCACTGGTCTACGCAGAAGGCACACAAACTACTCTTAATCCAGCCGGAATAGCATGTGTATATTTCGGTATCACTTTTAATTTCACTTATCGAAGAACATTCGAGTGTTGACACTTCGCAGGAGTTATGTTCGTTATCTCCTTCTTTCTCACCCATGTTCCTTATCTTTTTTGCTGCTCAGTATCACCTTCAGAATAGCGACAGCTAACATTGCTATACAAAAAAATTTGGCACTTTCGAAATCAGCGAATGTGTGTAGGCTCCAGACGAGATCTTCGAAAATGGCGTTGCTTTTAGGCGCGCAAAATCACTAGCAATTATGCTTCATTTCATTTTATTACCTTAAAAACCTTGTTCGCATATAACATATTAGAGCAATAAATGCATGTGTGTGGTGTGATATATGTTGAAAAGTGGCCAGATATTCTGTACGACTTTTTTATGGCAGCACGGTGAGGCACGTTGTTCTAATTTTCGGTAGCTCGAGAAAAAATAGGGATTGAAATATTACAATATTACAGCTCATGTTCATGAACGGGTTCCTTGTTGTTCATGGCTGGTGCACGGTGACGTGCGTGATGATGATGGCGTGATGTGTAGCTTTCGCTGTGTTTACATAAGCGTGCTCTAATGAATACGCACTTGACCCACTTTTTCTTTCTCTTAGGAAGCGAGCCAGTGGTGAAGTTGGTAATGGGAGCCAAGTCGCTGCCGCCTGCTCTTTCTCGAAACACGATTGCGGAACTTCGTGGTGACAGCAAGCCTGAAGAGGTAATGTACACCGGTTGGTTGCTCAATCGTTTGTGCCGCTAAATTCACACGTCCAGTACCTTGTTCATTGGTCTTTTTCTGGTTGATGTTCGGCTGTGAATATTTTATGCATTTATTTCAGCATAAGAACTGCTCATACATGTCATTAGAAATGGCTAAACGCTGCTGAATGGACTCAATACTGCCCATCACACTTGCCTGTTGCGAGTCAGTGAAGATGGGTTCTTCACAAACCGGAACCTGTTACGACATAACTGCTTTGTTATTGTTTCAGAATTGCACACAAGTGGGCGAAGTAGGCATTATCAAAGCAGGCTGCCCATGTACATATTTAATGATGTTCAAACTGAATTTCTTCGTCATAACACACGCGTTAAGGAACATGAGGTGGTCAAAATTGACGCAGCTCTTTCCCAAAGCGTCCCACATAATCATATCGTGGTTTTTAGAGGTGAAACTCGAAATATTAACAATAATGTTATCGTAATAATGCACGTGTATTGCTCGAAAACACACTAAGAGTGAAAAAAAATTCCCCAAAACCGTAACAAGCTGTGTAAATGGCCCAAGCAGAGTGTATCAGTCTAAAACTTTGCTCAGTTTGTTTGAAGACACATACTTGCCTGTGACACGTTATTTCATTTCCTCAGTAGAAACTCTACATGCCGGATATTCTTGTAGGTGATTGAATTAATCGTTACTCGTCAAATATTGCAGTATATTGAACTTCCGGGCGGGCAAGTGGTCGGCATGTGCTGTCCTAAGCGGGTACTGTTGACATACATCATACAAGAAAATGAACATTAACAAAAATTACCAGGAAGTTTGAATAATTTAGATGCTTTATGAGGGCAATATATCCGTGTGCGTAAACGCGAGCGTCTCTTGAGAGGACCATAACAACTGTCCTGGAACTTTCTTGTCACATGCACACACACTTCACCAAAAGGACGCCATAAAAATGTCACCGACCTCTGCGTACATGTTCACTACTACCTTACAAGCAAAGCAAACGACAACCCACTAGAGATGCAGTACGATAAAAAAAAGATAGCACAGAAACAGAACAGTATGCGCAACGCGTAAAAGCCATGCGTAGCTTGCATTTAGCTGTATTACAAGAGCACCAGAAGATGTGCTCCTGAGGACACAAGCCGAAGTACTTAAGGTTGTTTGGGACGAAATAAAAAAGAATGAGCGTTTACGCAGCTGAGCTCGCGTCTCGAGAGAAGGCTAACAGGGCAGTTCAAATGCTTTTTACGTGTTTAATTATTATCCTGCCTGCAAAATATTTTGTAAAATATATGCCTGAATGTTTCCTTACAATTGACTTTGTAACCGACAGACGCTATTTGGCATCGAGACGGGCTTTTTAGCATTACACAGCAAATAAAATCTTCACAGTATAGCAGTGTATTTGTTGGCTTGATGAATCGCATAATTTATGACAGCGTTGAACGTAGCTTATGTGCAACACTTAGGAATAGACTTCGATGAATTACTCCTGTCGACCACATTCAAAGTGTGCGCATTAGACACCGGTTGTCTGACGTATTATTTACGTATTATTCAGACACGATGATGTATACGCGTTTCGTATAGCTCACTGACCTTTACTGCCACATTATTCATTCATGTTCTGTCTCACAAAATGGCACGCGCCAAATATCGTAAGATTAAGATAAACTTTCGTGCTTTTCAGGTGGTACTTCTTTCAGGACACTTGGATTCCTGGGACGTTGGTCAAGGCGCCATGGATGACGGTGCGGGCGCCTTCATTTCGTGGAGGGCTCTAGCTGTGTTGCGACGTCTTGGTCTAAAGCCTCGTCGAACGTTGCGATGCGTCCTATGGACGGGAGAAGAGTTGCACACTGCAGGCGCCCTTGAGTATTATCGCCGGCACTTTTCGAGCGAGCAACAGCTCATGAATCTCGTCATGGAATCGGACTCCGGAACGTTTCGTCCCCTGGGCCTCTCTTTTTCGGGCTATAACGAGCAGGCTCGTTGCATCGTGGCCGAAGTACTCCGCCTATTCACTCGCATCAACGCGACGCGCCTTACGTTAGGAGCTTCGGCGCCAGATCTTAAGGCTTGGATCAAAGAAGGTGTCCCCGGTGCGTCACTGAGCACAGCGAACGAAAAGTATTTCTTGTTCCACCACACCGAAGGAGACACAATGAGCGTGCTCGACCGCCATGAACTTGATCTCTGCACAGCACTGTGGGCAGCTGCTTCGTACGTTTTCGCCGACCTGAGCATGCGACTACCTCGATGAAGAAAACGCAATGACTATTCAGTCACACAGGTGTCGTAATATGTTAAGCATTTACAATGAGTGGCACAATCAGCAATTGATGCTTCACTCATTATAACTGTCACACCGTACCTCAATATAATTAGCTATCCGTGGTAAACAAATATTCGAGATGTGATAGTTCTAGAAATGTACTTGCAGAATGTCACGTTTGGCGAGATGGTGCACTTCTTAACAAAATAGGCATCAGCGTCTTCTCAATATCTATGTATTAGAGTGATTGCTTATTTTGAGATAGGATTGCAAAAGTTTCTTTTTTTACCTGTTCGCACATACTGTGCCCTGTTTTTGTGCGCATACATGAAAACATGCATGTTCGGCCGATGTGTTCAATATAAACTAGTTTTTTAAAAAGCCCTTTGGAGTCAGGTAAAGTCTTCATTCCAGTTTTTCTATTCACCTACGCCGCAAATATTCCGTCACTCTGAGAATGTAATGTGCATATACGAGCATGCGTAAGGTCTTCTACTCGGAGGCGAAATTTTCACCACTGTGTCACCCCACTTGCTCCAACATTTTGTTCGATTCCGTATGTGATGAAGCTTTGCGGCGAATGCGAAAAAAAACGTTATTGCAAGAGAGAGAGATAGGTTTATTTACAGGAAGGCAGAGAGGTTGGCCTGAGCGATTGCTTGCTCTAGCCTGCTACTCTACACGGGGGGAGGGGAAAGGGGTGAAGAAAAGACTAATGGATGATGATGGTGAAGTAGAGAGGTGAGTATGTAGAATTATTTATAGCTGAGACAAATTTCCTAGCAGCGCATATAGTCCAGTTGCTTCCAAAATTGTTATAATCGCTCTTATGACCACAATTGCACTGTTGGTGTCTGGCCAAGGGCCCAACACGGTCTCATCAGTTAATGACCCACTGCGATATCGTTCACTAGAAGAGATCAGTGTTTGTCATTCACGTGCGTATGCTGGGTAGACACAAATATGTGCTCAAGTGTTTTGGCACATCACAGTGTTCACAATGAGGACCGGTGTCACTGCGACCGATGATATGTGCGTAAGGTCTGGTGTACGCCACACCAAGACGAATGCGGTGGATTACACTTGTTAGTTGCCATTTAAATTTAGGGGGCATTCGGAACCTCATTTCCGGGTCCCATTTGTGAAGTCGCCCGTGTCGCCGTTCTGGTTCGGTCCAGTGCTGAAATGTAGAGCTGCGTATCACGCAGCGAAGCAGCTGGGGCGTTCGTGTCAGCTCGTGAAAACACAATGCGTACTTCAGGGGCACTGCTTAAGGCATTTTTAGCTTCAGCGTCTGCCTCTTCGTTTCCCATCACGCTGCAATGCGCGAGAATCCACCGGAAAGTGATAAGATGGCCAATTGTTGAAGCAACCTGAATGAGTTCTGCGATTTCTATTGCCAAGATATAATACATACCTTGCTTCTTGATGCAATTATTGATTTGCAAAGCGTGTTTTGCATCACAAAAAATTGTCCAGGCTCGAGGTCGCTCTCCGGAAATAAATCTTTTTGCCTCCCGGATAGCGACAAGCTCTGCCGCAGTTGATGTGGTTTTATGGTACACTTTGAATCGTCGAGCGATATCCATGTCTGGGATGACAATTGCTGCGGCGGAGGTGTTGGACCCGACGGTGGACGCGACGGTGTACACGTGCAGAGAATCACCATACGTTGTATAAATGTGATGTAGGGTCAGTTCTCTGAGGCCAACAGAAGAAATGAGCGACTTCTTCACAATTCCAGGTATCGTAAGACAAGCAGGTGATTTAGGCAGGACCCATGGAGGCACTGCAGGAACATTCGGCGGGGAAAATCTTGATCGTAGAATATTCTTATGCCACGATATTACTCTTGAGAAACTGCACTCTGGGTGAGTGGCGGGTATTACTGATAGTGGGTGCTATCTGTGTCGGCTCAGCGATCGAAGGTGAACTTTAAGTGGCTCGCAGAGCATGTATACACTACTGACTGGACAAGCCCGAGCCCCTACGATTGTCCTATTTGTTGAAGTATAGCGCGGTAGACCCAAGCATCTTAAGCATTGAGCTTGAACACTCTCTAGCGTCTGTACAAAACTAGGTCTCATATTAGAGAGCACCAGCATGCTGTATCGAAAACAGAGCATTGTACAATTGAAGTAACGATTATTCTGATCGGCCCCATCTTGCTCCTGCCACGTGGCGAAGAACAAGAGCAAAGCTCTTCAATTTAGATTTAAGTACTGCGACATGTCTCGTCCACGATAGATCTCTGTGTACGACAATCTCAAGAAACTTGTGGTGCGTTACAGCAGGTATCACTGTCCCATTAATAAATATCGGGTATTGTGACATATGCTTGCGCGTGAATGCAAGCACTGCGCATTTGTAGATTGAAAGAGTGAGCCCCTGGCGTCGTAGATATTTGTATGCGATCGTCAATGCACGCTGTAGTCGAGCTCGCAATTGCGGACAAGTAGTTCCGGATGAATGTGATTGCAAAATTAAGCAATAACATGCTTGACAGAACGACCCGACTTTGGTCTGCGGCTTTCTTGGTGTGACGTTTCGGTGGTGGCGAAACCCTAGAGGCGTGTGTTCCGTATGGCGTCAGTGTAGTTTAAAGAACATTGTAAAATCAAAATTGTCAGTGTCCGCGGGAGTGCACTCAAGAGGTCCTGTTTCCTTGAAGCACACAAAAACTTTGGATGAAAAAAAAATCGCGAATACTTGCACGAGGAAGAACACTGAACTCTCAAGTTTGTTCATGGCATATAAAGGCATCTCAAGCAACGAAACTTTGGAACAAAAGGTTGAAAATTTTTGTGACGGGACACTGGTACGACGTTCGAGAGGATTCATTGAAAATTTTTACGCAAGGGCAAATACGCTCTAGCCTTCCAATGTCCAGAAGTGTATTGAGAGAGCAACACTTGTAGCCAGACTTAAAACAAAAAAATTGGAGGACGTTTCAGCTTGACCTTCAACAATTTAACGATATAGCGACATCCTGCTTTAATGTGCACTTGAATCGCTTAGAGCTCAGTTTTTATTGCATGAAGTTGCTCGAAAAGTTTGAAGTGTGGGTTACTACAGCGTAACGCATTAAGGTGAAAGTTGCCCCGCCCCGATGCTCTAGTGGCTAAGCTACTCGGCTACTATCCCGCAGCTCGTGGGATAGAATCCCGGCTGCGGCGGCTGCATTTTTTATGGTCGCAAAAGTGCTGTAGGCCCGTCTGCTCAAATTTGGGTGCATGTTAAAGAACTTTAGAAGATCGAATTTTCCGGAGCCCTCCACAATGGCGTCTCTCATAATCATACGGTGGTTTCGGGAGATTAACCCTCCCCCCCCTATCAATCAAAGTTGAATGTTGCTCGTGCCAGTGAAGATTGGCCTAGGGCTGAATATTCTAAGCATGTTTTAAACCACATGCAATTATGCGCGTTAAATCTTTTCGAACTTACTATGCATCTACTATGCAATCTTGACGAGATACGTGAGTAATGTGGGTGCCTTTTCTAATGGGTGGCTAACTTTAAATAGCGAAGTCACCATGATAGTCACGTGTCGTGACGCCCGAAGCGAATGAACGCTTGTACCACACAATACAGACCTTATGCAACCTTGCTGCCATCTGCCGTCGTGTGCGTACTACCAAGTGAAAGGCTGAACGGGGCGTATTGCGCTTAGTCCGCATGTGCTTACGTATATACGTGTACGTAAGATGTTTCAACGTGAGACACTCGAAATGCTTAGACAAAACAGGTAAGCCGTGAATTTTGCCTCTTCTTTTTTTCAAGCTGTCAACGTTTTCAAAATGTGCTCCAGCTACTGCTACCGGAGACGTCCTTGCATTCGCCTTTCAAGGAAAATAAGACGTGCAATAGCGTTGTTTATTAGTGTTCCCAGAAATCGATGCATGCCAGATTAATGTAGTTTTTGCAACATCCTCACTAGCAGCCATTTACCAAGTGAAGGCGACTCGTACACTTTACGCAGAAGCCACCTTCTCGCAACGAGCTTTATTGCGGCTGATTGCACGCACCTGCATTTCTTTTATTTACCGAGCACATCTAATACCTCAAAAACGCCTGCAGTCATGCGCAAGTCATACCACTAACGGCAGCTTGTCACACTCCAAAAGAGAAAACGAAACAACATAAAAAAAGATGCTTTAGCACCGTTGCTCCCTTCTTAGAAGAAGCTGATGACGCGTCTTTGCACCTAATTCAGCGTTTGTCCGCTATTCTAACGTAATAACAAAAAGACAATGAAAAAAAAACGAAGGCACGCGCTATTAGCTGCGATAAAGTTCGTTGCGCGAAGGTAGCTTCCGCATAAAACGTAGGAGTCGCCTTCCCTTGGTAAACCGCTGCTAGCAAAAGCGTTACAAAAACTGCCTTGCTTTGGCGTGCAGCAGTTTGTGGGAACACAAATACAAATGCTATTGCACGCCTCAGTTGCTCAAAAATGAGAACGCAAAGACGCGTTTCGGGAGCAGTAGCCAGAGCGCAAGCTGGGAACGTCCATAGCTTGAAAAAATGACAGGGGAGAAAATTTACGGCTTACTTTTTCCTTCAGAATTTGGAGTTCCTCTCTGTGTGGTGCAAAACGCGCAGCAATACCTGGGCATTTCGATTATCAGCCAATACACGCCTCACGTCGATACGTCTACGTATGCAAATACATAAACACGCGCGGACCTGCGCGGACTGTGCGTACTGCGCCGCGCTGAGCCTTTAACATGGCAGCAATGCACAAGACGGCCGACAGATGGCAGCAATTGAGCATAAGGTCTAATACTGCGATGTTATATGTGTTGTGGAGCCTATATAGAGGACGCGTGTGTTTGTAAAGCATTACGTTATTTTCGCTGCCTTTACAAACAAAGGGAGTTATTTTAACTGCGCAGGTGTATAGCTGTGTGGTAGAACATCTGCATTCCACGCAGACTGACTGGGTTTGATCCTCACTAGGACCCAGAGCTTATTATTTATTTTATTGCATCTTTCTGAATTATTCGGTCATGCATAAAAGACAATTTTTGACTCGCAGCCAACGATGCCGACAATCGGCACCGAAGCTTGAGTTTCTGCGAAAGAAGCTCGTTAACGCGATTGTGTTTATAATATCTCAGGTATGAGCCAGTGCTTCGGCAGAAATTTTCGTCATCACAACGAATATGGGTCTTCATGTGAACATCTTACTTCAGAGATCTTTTCTTCGACTTTGATTTCTAACATACACAGTTTGCATGATGATATGCATATTGAGTGTAATCAAAGCAAGGCAGCTTACCTAACGGCACGCAGATACAGTTTCTTAAAACTTTGCAGTGCTTAAACTAGTTTGTAGTAAGTTAGCGTGGCCAAATAAGAATACAGAAAATGAAAGACTAAACAGGAAGGCTACCTGCAATAAGGTTACTAATAGCGATTCCGTGGTGAGCGGAGACTAGTCGTCCGAAAATTTCGCAATGTCAACAACGGTAGGCTACCTGCCGCTCTTTTCAACCTATTGCGACACACCTTGCAAATGATTAATCAGTCGATATGCTTCCGAAATCATAGCAGCGCTTTTCATGCCACACGGCGTTAACATCAGCTGCAATTTGCGATGGTCACGAAACACCTGCCACAGCAACAAGCTCGGCACAGCTATCCGTACGTGCAAATATACAAACAAAGCTGGGTCCCCATTGTGAGGGTGTTCCCACTTACAGATGAAGTAGCATCTGTACAGCAGTAGACGTCGCTTCGCTGTGCGGCTGCAAGACCTCATAAAAGTGCCTCTTCAGACACTTCATCGTCGTGATCGCAAAAACCAAGAGTGTCGATGCCTATTGTCTATGCTATACCACTCAAATATATAAAATATGTGACCTCCCGAAAAACGCACGCACGTGTGAAGGATAGTTTCGCGCTATCACTTATCTGCTTTAGTGTTAGCAGAAACTTAGTCATTGTGGATCTGCCACAGGCACCATTGACAGTCTTCTTTCTTTGTTTACGGTACTCTTTCAAATAGACCACTGAAGATAGTAAACAATGCTGTACCACTTCGAACAGCCCTCAAATCAACGAAAGGTGAACTTTGCAGAAATAGACTTGATTCTTGTTGACAAGTGCAAGATGATAATAAGGAAGAACTACAGAAAGCAGTGAAAAAAGAACAACGAAACTCAGTAATACAACACTGCTGTGAGGTCATTTTTCAATGAACGACACTGTGTACACGTGTGGACACCATATAAGTATTTATCCTGCAATTGCACCCTAAAAGAAGATCGAGTAAAAAGGGTGTCTTTTTGTCCCAAAACAATAATCGTCATGTATATTGCGTTCCATCCTTGCGCTATCGCCCCGCACCCGGTACATTCCGGTCACGATCGACATGCCCATTATCAGGGTTACATTGCATTCTCGATAGGAAAGTGGCCAGCGCCGAGTTTTCAAGAAAGGAAGCGCACGCAAGCGTGATGACGATTACTGTTGTGGGAAAAAAGACACCCTTTTACTCGATATTTTTTTAGAGTGTAGTATCAATGTCGTACCCAGATTTCCCTGTCGGTAATACAAACATATGTGCGTAGGAGATACAGTGAATACACCTTTGAAACATTGCTAGCGTCTGCGATCAATATTGTACTTTGAACAATGGTAGTCAGTAAATTTGTCTTCGACAGAGCCCTGACGCGAAGCTCACATGTGCAAGCTTTGGTGAAGATCACATCCATTGTTGCACCTCTTTTGATCGCTTCGAGTCGCTTTATCTTCTTCTCGCCTTTATATTTTACGACTCCAAACACATGCCTCATACGCGCAACCCTGATATGACCAGTGAAGGAGCCGCAACGGAGGAACGCTTTCTACTACACGGTTTTCTGTGTTCATTGTCAACATCGTTTTAAGGCAGCAGCAAAGCAGCACCTATTTTTGGCACATCGTCGACAAAGGGCCAAAAAAAGTTACTATTCTGTTTTCACAGATTCTGGTAAGGTTTCACAATGCCAGTTCTTTTTGATAAATCTGTAATGTGGCCAGTGCTGATTTCGTCACAGAAAGTAAGCGTTTGGCTCTCTAATATCGTTTACACGATTACGAAGGTAAATTTCATTTAAATTTGTAACTTATTATAGAAAATGCGAGGCCCGAATTTTTTCAGTACTCATGTATCCTCTAATTATTTTCTAGGAAATGAGGTTAATTCATTGCGTGAAGCTGTGTTGAGTACCAGATAATGAAGATGAATTAAAAAAACTTGTAGCTGCTTCTGGGTAAGCAATTTAGTATATTTCGTAGGATTAATGTTGTGACAAACTTGGACACTGGGGACAGCTCCCAGCAGCGTCTGAAGATGGTGATGAACAATCCTTCGAGAATTGAAATATGAAAAAAACGAAATCGCAATAGCTATTTTTATCGCACGAAAGAAAAATTGCATGCTTTCAAGGCATACTCTAAACACACCACCGACTCTTAATCTTAGCCTGGAGATTTAAGTGAGCAGAGTGTCTAGCGCTCACGTTTATACGATCATTCTGACTTCTATATTGTACAGCAATTTCTGTAATGCCAAATTATTCAATTTCAATATTGAAATAACTTTAAATTTTGAAGTGGTCCTATGTTTAGATTGATCGCCGAACAAGAAAACGTTAAGAAGCCACTGAATGTAGATGATGTCGGCTTTAGAATGCGTGTTTTTTGAAAAACCAGATGGTTCTTTTATTTTGAAAATATGTTTTGAAATAGCTTGGAGGACATAGCGCAAACTAGGTGAAATAGTTGAACTCTTGAAGTATCATTTTGATATAAATGTAGCTTCAGAGAATCGTTACTAAAAACGCGTTATATTATTAGGTTGATAACTGTGTACAATCACATTATAACAGTCGATTGACAGTGACATGCTACAAGCATACCGTTACAAATTTTCTGTCGTTCCTTCTATTCCTGTTTTGCTCGCAGGATGTTAGGTAGCGGCAAGTCAAGAAATAAGATTTTACTGCCCCTCTTCCTTACTCTTACCATTTCACTGTTGATGGAATTTGTGAGCTTGCACGTACACTAATTTGCAACCGGATGTGAGATGGATCAAGTGCACATTGCTGACAAAGGCACTGTGCCTATACAGGCTTGTGCTTACTGTGCACGAGTATGACTTGTAAATGTAAAGCTTAAGTTCGATAGAATTATTTTTACCTTTAGGAAGACCACCCTATCTGAATATGGCTCGACAACGTAACGCCATGTCTAGTCTTTCAAAATGGCCTAGGGGCAAACGATTCGGACTAAGTATCTCTATAAATACACGCTAGAGAACGTCGTGACACCCTCCTAAACAAGCTTCATGAACCAGGCAATTTTCCTTACCCTTGTAAATTATCTTTTATTCAAAGTACCTATTGACAAAAAAGCACTGCGAGTCTCGCGTTTCATTTTTTCTTCATTTAGTGCAATGCTATAAACACAAATGGTTAAAGAGTTGCTTTCGTACGCACTTTTTAATCACAATTTTATCAGTGGTGTTTTTTTGGGAGGGAGAAGGGGGGGTTCGCGCTTCAGCTAGCTTGGTGTATTCGAAAATAAGTTATTTTGATTCGACAGGCAGTTAAATAGAGACTGTCATACTTATACAATTATACATCACTAAGTCTTAATACCGGAAACAGTGCAAATCACGTTGCATCATGTCCCGTGACTCGGGCTGATCTTACCTTGCTGGGTCGGCGTCGGACCTGCAGTATGTAAGCTAAAAACCCTCTTGAAAATTTTTGCGCAAGCACACAGAGACACAGAAGAGAACACAAAGAGGCGCAATCAAACTGGTGTGTTCTTGGAAAAACATTCACTTTATAACAATTCGGATCTGCGCTCTCTGGCCACCAAATAACAAATGCACTGCGTACATATCACAAATGGCGATAACGAGTTCGTTGAATAACAGACATAAGACAATGAACTTTTTATAGTTACTTGTGATATGTGCACAGTGGATTTTTTTTGGTGACCGGAAAGCCCAGATCGTAGGGGTATAAAGTTAATGTTTTTCGAAACATAAACCAGCTGTTTGATTGCGCCTGTTAGTGTTCTCTTTTTTGTTCCTGTGGGCTTGCTCGAAAATTTTCAAGATGAATATGTTCCAACTATATATATATATATATATATATATATATATATATATATATATATATATATATATATATATATATATATATATATATATATATATAGGCCGAATCGCCGTTATGCTAGAAACCTTAGCCTTGCGAAAAACACGCTTAAACCAATAATTTTAAAACTAATGCTAGCTTTGGTTCTTGTGGGTCTCGACATGTGCGACGATCTTCCTGCATGATCTTCCTCCTTGCTTGTTAGCGTATACTTACAACTCTGTTATTCTGAATTGCACGCGTAATTATGCTTTAATTTCTATAAGTCTTTAAATATGCTTGTACATCTCCTCTTCACGCTTTTTTTACAGCCGAGTAACCATTTCCCATGGGCACAGTGGCTGTACGCACTTTTTCATTCGTGCTGTGCTCACACTTACACTGCCACGGCAGCGCAATCCCAAAACCAACATAGGTGCTACGGGAAGCACTATGCTTCCTCGGGGCTTGGTCCACGAGATACGGAGCTACAGACCCATCGTAAAAAAGATCATACATGTGGTTGTGCACGGAGCCGAGCAGAATGTTACGTACAATGAACTGGCCAGCTTCGTGGACAGATTTGGGGCTAGGCCGTCCGGAAGCAAAGCTCTGGAACACTCGATCGACTACATGGTCGACATTCTGCGTGGGCAGAGACTCGACTCTGTGCATACGGAGGAGGCAAGTATAATAAACTGGAGAAGAGGGCACGAAGAAGCATGGATTGTGAGACCCAGGAAGAAGAAAATGAGTATCCTTGGATTGGGAGGCAGCGTTGCCACGCCAGCGAAAGGTATCGAAGCGCCTGTGTTGGTAGTTAAATCCTTTCAAGATCTTAGGAAAAATGCGAAGAAGGTAAGTATACATTGCATTCATTTGTTCCACATTGAATTCGCTGGGCTTGAAGAAGTATGTAATGCAGTGAGAAAAGCCACAATGTCCACCAATGACATTTGTCAGGGACAGTATGCATTGCATGAAGAGAGTATAGAAAAGACCTTTTTTGCGCTAAAATAAAAAGAATTATTTGAAGCTTTCCCGGAGAAACATATTTAATTGAGATATTTTACAATGTTAAGTTTAGATTTCCTTTCAATATAATTTGTATCTTTTATGCGGGGTATATTACGTCTATTTTCTCACACCAATCTGGCGTAACAACTATTCATTGAAATTGAAGAAAATTCATGTTTGCTCTAATTTATCAGCCCATGGTTTGAAGCATGGGCTTAATTGGCACCACATCACGACCAACGGGATATTTTGCCAAGTTGGCACAGCTAGTTCTCTATTCTTGCACATCACCAAACGTCTACCACTTGTCAGGTGCCTTCCTTAACTCTTAAGCAAGAACAGAAAGACGCAGAAACATTTATTGACAGAAAGGGGTACGTATAGTGTGGGGATAGGCTTTTACGCAACTCTCATCTAGCAGTGCTGGATGCCCTCAGTTCAGAGCTCCACAGGCAGTTGCCACCCGGTGCACCCGGTCGATCAAACTCATTTCCTGGCCGGACACTTCTCCCACGGCTTCACAGTTACTTAGACAATAACAGACAGGCACTAATGCGCACGACATGAACACGGCGGACCGGTATGTTCATGTAGTGTGTGTTAGCGTTGGCTTCTCGGCGCAAGCAAAGCCTTTCTTTTTTGAGCGCCACCGTTACTTTGCATACTTTTCATATTTGCTCAAAAGTATTGTGATAGAGGCATTGAAGTGAGTTTATATATATCCGAGTAATATCGCTTTTAGAGGACGAAGACGAAGTGTTGCTGTAGCTGAGTGTTTGCCGTTCATCTTCAGACTTTTGACTTATTTTCGCAGTTATACGGGGAACATAGTTTTCTTTTGGGCGGCGATGGAAGTGGACTCATCTGCACGCTCACCCGAGTTGCCGGCGACAGCGCCGGCAGCCTCAAGGAAGCGAAACTGCCTTTCCAGTGACAGCGAGGCTATCCTCGTTGACACTGCCGAGAACGTCAACAGCTCCGACGACGAATACGTGACCACCATGAGCCTGAAAGCAAAGCGGAGGATGCTCAGGGCATCCATGGACGCATCTGCTGGGAGGGCCCCGCAAAGCCCGCTGAGGTACGTCGTCCTATTTTTGCCTACGCAACCATCCGTCAACATGTGGCTACTGAACAGGCAAGCTGAATCTTCAGAGCTCGAGGCACTGTGCCGAACAGTATTAAGGATATCAGAGGGAATCCCCGGAAAAATGTTGTAGCAGTCGACGTCACTCAAGCATCAGCGTTAGATTCACTGACCAAAGTTACCGTCCTTGGCGGCAGTGGAGGTTCACACTATCATTCCACTAGGAAATCAGGAAACTACAGGCGTCATATATGACATCGATGTGACCATCTCGAACGAAGATCTGCCGATTCTTATTAAGCCTGCTAATGACTGGCCCCAAATACTGCAGGTGTGCCGTCTAGGAAAGTCGAGATGGGTGAAGATAGACTTTAAGAGTGATTGCCGGCTGACACATGTTAAGGTGGGTCATTTCCTACGTGTTGTGTGGCCATTTGTCCCTAAGCCGCTTCAGTGCTGAAAATGTCAGAAATTTGGTCATGTGAGCGCCGTCTGTGGAAATCCTACAACATGTTCTCGTTGTCGTGCACCACACTCTGCCGACAACTGTAATGCTAATTCCTATAATTGCTCGAATCGCCAAGGGCCCCACGACGCCACATCAAAAGAGTGTCCGAAAATAAGGCAGGAGATTTCGGTTTTTGAAGAAAATGGTGACGGACCATTCGGCTCACCGAGAAGCGGTTGCTGTCGTCAGGAGACATTGGTCTCGTCGCAGACGCTCATCTAGAAAGCCTGCCCACGGTATCAAGTCTTCTGTAAAGCCTGCTTTCGTTGAATCGGCTTCACCCCCACCGCCGGACAGAAGGAACACGTGCACTGAGAATGCTGCCCCTGAAAAGGAGGCTCTGGAAGAAGCATGGCCATCACTTCCAAGGATAATCTCCGCAGAAAAACTGGAATGTGCACCGGTAGCACCACTTTCTGCATCTCGCCAAGATGAGGCGACGGAGCGTGACCGAGAAATTTTGACGATGATCAAGTCTCTCATCATTGCCATTCGCACGCTTATAGGCAACACGAACACGCCTACAGCACGATGCGCAGTGCAAGTATTGGATGCCCTGAGTCCAGTGTTTGCCAACTTCGCATAGACGAAATGGCTGTTTCACTGCATTCATTCCGAGACGAAGTACGTAGTGCGACAGTTTTATAGTGGAATGCCAGAGGACTTAAATCACGGATGTCATGTTTTCGACGTTACGTTTTCCGCAACAGATTTACTATATTAGTAATATGTGAACCAAACTTGTCAAAAGCGATAAAGCTTTCTGGCTATGAAGCCTTCACTTCAACGACTTGTGGTGGGCCCAGCAAAGTATTTATATATATCTGCACAGATTTAACCTACATTCCACATTTGGTGCAACCCCATAACGTACACACGTATGCGAAAGGGCGGCGCTGGTCGAAGGGACGTCGATCATTGTGTTTGTGGATTCGTTGGAATTCATTTCACCGCAACCTTGGACGTCGACGCGCCGTACAAACCAACCGACGAGCGGCAACTGAGCGAGTGAGCGCCGACCTTGAGTATATATACAGCACGACGGCGCATGCACTGTCAGCTGTTGAATGTTCTCGATGCGCGACGCCACATGCGCGTCCACTGGAGAATCAGGAGAATTGTAGATGTCGAACGCGGTGTGTAGAGGAGGAAGGGTGCACAGATGGTGGAGGAGTGAAGCGCGCGCGGTGTGTAGAGGAGGAAGGAATGCACAGATGGTGGAAGAGTGGGCGACGGCGCGACGGCGCATGCGCGCACGTCAGCTGTCGAATGTTCGAGAAGCGGTGCGGACGGCGCGGACGGCGCGGACGGCGCACTACAAGGCGCGAGTATAAGATGCTTCCGCATCTAATAAATACTTTCCGTTTCATTACACAACAATATATCTTATTTTTTAATTGCATACCGCTCGCTACGCGGTTTTCTTGGTGCGAGTAGACGGCCTCATGCCAGCAACAGTGAATTCGCTCGCCAAAGCCGTCGCGTGAATGAGGTTTGTCTGCGCTAGCGACTGATCGCGCGAGGCCGATCTACGTCACGTCGCTTGTCGCTGTCGCGTGAATTTTCGCACTTATGAGGTTTGGCCTTGAAGCAGTTTATTTATGAAACTTTGTTGGCCTTTGCAGTTGGCTGTGCTGATTCTGGAGCTTTTCTTGCTGGTTTTTCAGTCTATCTTCGAAATCCTGTATGGATCAAGTGTCCGACTTCGAGGAGGTTAAGCTGCTGCGGTCATTAGATCCACTTGCCATGGCAGCGTAGCTCGCACGTTTAACGGAACGCGAGCGCGTGCGAGAGCGGGAGCGCGAACTGGAACGCAGTATTGATTTGGATCTACTGCGCGCAGAGACGGAACGCGTGCGAGAGTGGGAGCGCGAACTCGAACGCAATTTTGACTTGAAACTGCGGCGCGTGGAGACGCGGCCCTCATTGTTACTGTTAGAGGTAGCGGCCGATATGCTAACCTCAGGGAACTCTTCTCCGCTGGCGTTCCAGTTGTTGTCTATTTCTTGAAGCCTGTTGAGGCACTGTTGTCTTACGTTGATGGGTTGTGGACTTGGCTTTAGTCTCCTTTTGCATTCTTTAATTGCTGTTTCGTGTCCTTCCCCGCAGATCTTGCAGATGGGTGCGCATTCATGTCCCTGCGTTTGTCCGGCCTTGCCACATTTATAGCAGAAATCCGGGATAGGTTTCGGACAGACGTCCTGGTGGTGACCCTTATTGCCACAAGCTCGGCAATACTGCACTGATTTACGATATAGTCTGCAGCGGAAATCTACGCTCTGGAAAATTATGTTGTAGGAAACGTGCGGTCCTTCAAAGAAGACGACTGCCGCGGTCGATTGACCTAGCATTCGGGCATGAAGAACTGTGTATCTTGCCGGTGCGCGAATTCCAGCCGATGAGTTCTGCGGTGCTCGTACCGGGTATCAAGCCACTGATGACGCCTCTGGAGACATCGTCCGGTGTTCTGATGTTGCCGTTCACAGTGTAAAAATTTGCTCCAACCTGTATTTTCTGGATACTTACCAGCTTCTTGGCGTCTTCTTTGGCGGCGGTGCTTGCTATGATTAGGTTTTCCATTCTCTGGACTTGTACGCGTACCTTGCGGTGATAGTCCACTCACTCTGCCGATGGCATGCGTGACAGCGACGGTGTTCCATTTGGCGAGGTCAAGACCTGCTTGCGGGCGGTAGACGATCTTGAAGTCATCGAGCGGCAGAGGTGGCATCTTGGGCCTGCGTTGTTGCTGCGTTGGTGATGACTTTAGCGTCTGCTCATTGATAGGTGGCTGCTCTGTGGGTTGGTTGGCCGGTGACCTTGGATTGGCGACAGCCTTCTTGTCTTTCTTATTTCTCGTGATCCAAGCGCTTTCCGTTGCAATCGTTCTGCCACTTCCAGCGTCATAGGTCCACGAATTTTCTGTTGTTTTGTTTGCCCCCACTGGTCAGTTTGCATTGTATTTCCTTCGTCTTGCTGATTTCTTTGCATTTCGCTTGCTGCGGCTGCGTCTCTGCTCATTCTAAGCTTTTCGCCACGGTGAGCGCGAGCGCTCGCGCCGTGCCGTCAGGAACGCCTGAGCGCGTTGTGCACGCGCCGCGCGGCTTTGCTCAGGAACGAACTTCGCGTTAGGCTTAATAAACTGGACGCGCGCTTGTCGGGAATTAACTCTTATATCTTGAGACAGGATGCACTCACCCAAAAGAAGCTGGTGTCCTCCGATTCCTCGTGTCTTGGCGGCTGAGGCTGTAAAACTCTTGGGTTCGTCACTGGCCTTGTTTTGGGTTAAAAAGCACGAAAAGCAGGAGCCCATGCGAGACGCGTCTGGTCTACACGGCCCCGTAACGGTGGATCTCCACTCTGCGGATATGCTGTGATTTTTTTTAAACTAAGGGCTTCATGCGGACATGAGCATGCTGATGTAGATTATCATTCTGTTAAACACACTGGGCTCAGTACAAAAGCTTACTAGACTCAGCAGTGCAAATAAAGAGACTAAGAAATAATGGACAGCTTGCTTGTGAAAAATATATATGTCGGTTTTCATGCCATAGCAGCACAATAATATAATGCTTGTCATAGTGGGGCGCTGCTAACTTCTTACTAAGAGTGCATGCAGCGGGTATTCAAAATGAGTCGAACCTTGGACGCGGGTATGTCAGTGGTCTCTAAAAAAATGAGATCAAAGAAACTGACACCATTGAAAGCCCATCGACATACACGCAGCTTCACATTTGCTAACATTCCTCAGTGTTATAATGTGTTCCTACATTTACATCAAACATTTACACTTGATAACTCGCTCTGCGACGTCGAAACACATTAGAACCGAAGAAACAACCTCTAGACATAGTTGTAGTTTTACAGTGTTTTTGTTACCATCGGAGTTATTCTGATACTTTTTACGGCCACAAAACTGCTAGTGTTCCGCTGCACGTGGCCCCAAGTGCATAACAGTGTAGACTTTCCAATTACTAACCGAACAGCCAGTTTATAGCTTAAAAGGACGTTCCTTGAAATTGAAGGATGGCACTACACTACACGTATTTACAGTGCAGTAACGAAACTTCTCTTAACTATTTTTTCAACTTCTTGCTACATTTTTGTGACCACCTTCCCGCATTACAACGTTGTTCAGCACCTTCAGTGCAGCTAGTTTTCAACAACTACTTGCACATCCCTCTTTCATGACAGAAATTAGAGTGTTGTTTCTGGAATCTTTGCCAAAGTGTCTCAGCCAGCAGTAACTATTCCGAAGAATCAGGACCGAGATAACAAGGAGCGAAATTACCTTTAAAGGGGCTTTTATTGTGGCAGGCGACACGCGAACAACGAATGAAATCACTGTTCACCTCGCTCTTGTTAGCACTGACATGCGCATCTGTAACACACGTGATGCCCTTGTACCTACTTTACCTAAGTAGCCTTTTGATCACTAATGCTAGGATGCCATAACAAAACTCTGAGACCCACAGACATTGTTCCTACGTGGGCTGTCCATCGATGACAACACGAACTACTCAAAAGGTCATCTTGCGTCATCGCCCTACTGTTGTCATCGTTTCGTATTTTCATGCGTTCTAAAGTGACTAGTCTTGTCCACTTCCACAAGACTTAGACGTATTGATCTATCTTAGACGAAATTCGAACGTGCAACGCTGAAATCGTTGCGTGCGTGAGCAGCACTGCATTAAAAAATGGTTTCACATTCTTTCGAAACAAGAGAAGAGTGTCTTGACAGCTCCGAAATTGTTTTAAAATACTATTAAACTCCCTATTCTCGTCAACTGGGCGTGATGTGTGTATTAAGATCCTGGGAATTAGACATTTCAATGAACGCCCTTCTACAATAAATGTTAATGAAATAGCACAAACGAATTGACGAACGGCTATTATCTTTTATAGCTTTGAAAAGAGAATCACACAATGTTTGCTTAGGTGGGGTGAAAAAACGTTTCGGCGTTATCAGGGACAATCGTACAAATAAGCCCTCGTAAATTTACGTTAACCACATCACGTAAACTTTTTGAGGTCCATCACGCAAAATAAAGTTTTTTACGACCGCTGTCATAGAATGTAGGCCACGTTCACATAATGTAAGGGAAAAAATAAACTGTCGGGACAGCAAACAACGTATAGATTCATTTTCGGCTTTTAGACCTCTTGACTTAGTTTTATCTGTTCTATCGCCTTCGAAGGTCAGCGTAAATGCGCGTCCAAAGCTTGTTTTTCTCAGTGGCATTCTACCAAGCATGCTGGCAGAAATTTTCGTTAACACAACTTGGCGAAAACTTTTACTGTACGTTTTAAGGTGCACAAACTATATATTGTCCCACGTTGACAAACACTGGTGGGAAACGCCTGGTTATTTCAAACACCTAGGCTTCTTTTGCATCAACCTGAGTCTCCTAATTAGAGGGGCAATACTCTTTTTCACCGCCAATAAATG